AGGTGAATCACTGATTGAACATGCTAAACCTCTGGAAAATAAGGGACAAGAACAAAATAACCTTTCTCTCCTGCAGCCTTATCTGCAGTCCACCCATATGTGTCAGACAGAGGATGATATAGGAATCAAAGAAATGAAAATGTATGAAGCAAGAAAAGAGGAGAAGAAGGAAGGAAATAAGAATGTGCAAGATAAGCTGAATGAGGCTGAAGAGGCAGGGGATAAGAGAAAAAGTGAAATGGATCTCAATGACAACAATAATGTGGTTGTGCAGAAGGCTGAAAAGGAGAAAAATGAAAAAACGAATGAACCTGACAGTGGAGAAGTTTTACAGGTTGCTAACACCGATGATGAGATAGTGCTGGAAAATCACAAAGAGAATTTGAATAAGAATAATAATAACAATTATGTAGCAGTCTCATATCTGAATAATTGCAGGCAGAAGACATCTATTTTAGAATTTCCTAATCTATTACCACTGTCGAATGACACTGCAAGTGAATACCAAATTAAAAAGTTAGAAAATGCGTCTAGAATTTCTGAGTTACTTGGGATATTTGAATCTGAAAAGATATATTCAAGGAATGTACTCGCGCTGGCCCTCCAGAAACAGACTGACAGAGAGACTGCTGGCAGTCCTGTGCAGTCTGCTCCTACCCCAGGCCAGCAGAGGCGCTTAACTGCAAAGGGGAAAAGTTCAAGGGTCTCTTCTGATGCAAATCTCTTAAATATTAAAGGCAACCATTCACATAACAAGAATTTACACTTTTTCTTTTCTAACACTGTGAAAATCACTGCTTTTTCCAAGAAAAATGACAACATTTTTGAGCGTGATTTAATAGATTCTGTGGATCAACTGAAAAACATGCCCTGTTTGTATTTAAGGGAATTTGGAAAGAAGGCTAATCGTTGGCATGGGGAAGCAGTGGCGGCAACCCACAGTAATGGAAACACAAGTTTTGACGCTCCGAGCCATGAGTGTACAGCACAGCCGCAGCTCTCCAGCTCGGAGGGCCAGTCTGAACAGCTGACAGTGGAAGAGCAGATTAAAAGGAACAGGTGCTATAGTGACATGGAATGAAACAGCACTGGCCCTTTGCCATCCATACTCAGGTTCAGAGAGACACTGGCGTTCTGAAATAAGACTGGCTAGACTTTTGGAAAACTTGTTGTAAACACAATGTTCAAAAATCTCATGTTTCACAATGGAATATTTCTTGTATTACACTTCATAACTTTTTTTCATAATTCATTTGACTCTATGTTCTGAATGGAATGAAGAGATAAAGCAATATGGCTATGTTTTCCTCTCAAATGCCACTTTCGTATATCGCTCTGATTTCCTCTGTCATATCATGGGTGAGAGTCTATACTGCTGAGATTTATCACAATTCCTCTACCTTCTCTACAATTTCTGCTGAAATAAAACTGAATCACCTGGGGTGCAAACCAAGATACTTCTGTGACTTTTTTCCCATGATACATGCTATCATTCTAAGTATTATGCTTTCCTCCAACATTTAAAAAATATTTGTCTTGGGCCAGGGATTTACATCCTCTCCATACACATATAAACAGTCTTGGAAAAAATAAAACACTAAACCAAAGCCATGATGTTTATAGGAAATCCAGAATTTTCATTCTCTTTTGTGCTCTATATTTTTAAAACGGTTGTTACGGTTCTTTAAGTAACTACATCTATTGAACTATCAAAGAATGTGTCTATAAACAAAGAAAAATGTTTTCCCCCAGAATAATATGGAGTTCATGCTCAGAAATTAACTACACTAAAAAGCTTTCAGAATTTACTCAAATAAATTATGCATATAACAATGTTATTGCTTACTCTATGGTATAAATTAGTATAAAATTGTATCACTACCATTTGTCAAATGTTTAAAAATCATATTTGATGAATGTTGTTTTTTTCTTACAAAACATTCTTTTAAAAATCTGGCTCCCAAATTATCTGATGATTTTGCCTTTCCTCAAATACATTTGATGATTCTAACAGAAAAATTAAAAAAAAAACTGCATGAATATAAATGTATGGTTTTGCATAAATTTGAAGTACACATGTATGAAACAGACCCTATCCCATATTCTCCTATGTAAACACAAATGGTTTACTTTCTATAAATATGAAACCAAAATGCAGTGTTGAAAACTCTTTCATTTTAGAAAGTATAGTAAATTCCTTCTTGTGAGTTAGAATATTCTCAACAGAGATCTAAGATCTACATTGTATTAGTTCACTAAGGCTGTCATAACAAAACACCACAGAATGGGTAAAAAGGAATATTTCATCATGGCTCTGTAACCTAGACTTCCAAGGTCAAGGTGGAGGCAGAGTTGGTCATCCCTGAGGCCAATTTCTGGACTCACAGGTGGCTATCTTCTCACATGTTCTTTCATGAGTAAACCTAAATGGCCACCTGAGGTGACAGCATCTGAATCCTCTGAATTTAGAGGTGAATCACTGATTGAACATGCTAAACCTCTGGAAAATAAGGGACAAGAACAAAATAACCTTTCTCTCCTGCAGCCTTATCTGCAGTCCACCCTGTGCATTCATACCCTAGTCTCTTCCTCTTCTTTAAAGGGCACCACTTGTATTTGACTATGAAACACCTTTTCTAGTCACTTTTGCATAACTGTGACCAAGATACCTGATGAGAACAACATAGAAATTTTGTTTTGGCTCATGGATTTGGGCCACAGGGTTGGCTGACTCTGTAGCTCAGGGACTGAGGTGAGGCAGAACATATGGTGGAAGGGCATGATGGAGGAAAGCAGCTCAGGACATGGCCATTAGGAAACAGAACTTTGCTCACCAGGGACAAAATATAAATCCCTAAGACACACTCCCAGTACCTTCCTCCAGCCACACCCTACATGACTTCAATTACCACTCAGTTAATCCACATCAGTGGATGAATCCTCTGATTAGGTTAAAACTCTGATACTATAATTATTTCATCTCTAAACATTTTAGCATTGTCTCATACATGAGCTTTTGGGAGACACCTCATATCTAAACCATAAAACCTCCCATATTATTTCATTTAGCGTTAATTACCTCATAAAGGCCCTATTTCCAAACAGTCATGTTAAGTATTAAAGCTTCAACTTAAAAGTTTTTTAAGGATTCAATTCAGTTCATAACACTCATTTTTATCAAATATAATTGAATACGTGAAAGTCTGCCAAGAAAATGGCAAACCGTGGGGCTACAACAGCAATGTTTTTTATTTAAATTAAATTACTACACCTTGCTCTACTCTTCATGTATTCTTAGTGGCACAGAATTATTTCTACAATCATTTATGCTAAGTAACACAAAGGTTTCTATATTGGAAGAAATAATTTATGAAAATTCATGACATAACATCCTAAAGTGTAGTTTCTTAATATCAGTGATCCTTTTACAAAAGAGACTATTGCTTTACAAAATTCCTCTCTTAGGACTCTAACCATTTAAATCTTAGCATCCCAGTTCTTTACTCAATTATATTAAAACTTAGCACTAAGATAAGCTAATGTATAGATCAGGGAAAATAATGAAACTATTCATTGTTCTTCTGTTTAATGTATTTAAATAGCAAAGTATTTTTCTTAATCTTCTAAATCAGAAATGGCATTATAACTGTTGATTGCATCACCTTTTTAAACAACATGTAGGATTTTACAAAAATGCAAAAATGTTTTAAATATTCAACAACATTTTATTTAACAATGTGTTCACTCTAATTATGACAACTCTGCTAGCTAAATAGCAAGCTTTAGGAATTGTAACAGAGTGAATAACTAAACCAAGAGAAATCTACTTTCTCACAATTCTGGAGGCTAGAAGTACAAGATTAAAGTGTCAACAGGGCTGGTGTGTTCTGAACCTCTCTCTTTGCCTAGTAGAGGCCATCCTCTCCCTGTATCATCACAGGTCTTCCCATGTGTCTGTGCCCAACTTTCTTCTATGATAATTCCAGTCATAATTGGTTGTTAGTACCATCCCTAATGAGCTCATTTTATCCTAATTACCTCTTTAAAAATCCCATTTCCAAATGGTGTCACATTCTGAGGTACTGTGGGTTAGGGCTTCTGCATATAAATCTTACAGGACACAGTCCATCCCATAATAGATATTAATCACATTTGATGTTTAGTGTTTTAAATACATTACTATTACTATTTTGAAATAACTCCTAATAATTTTTCACTTAAAATTTACATCACAGGGGTATGTAATAAATGTATGGTGCAAAAAACTATATTTCCAGGAACAAAATTATCTTACAAAGCAATCAAGATGGGCCCATGATAGACCAAATACTATGCCAGAGGGGCCTGTGATGGTAGAGTTTGGCACTTAAGGGATTTTTCGTTATTTATTCAAGACTGGATCTTCCAGTGATTCTTGTAAAGCATTATGTCTCCCAGAATATTGTGCTGAATTGTCTTTTGCAGCTTCTACACAATCAATCCTTGTGACAGATTTGGGGCTCTAGGCAACACTTTCTCGGAATTGGGACAATGGTTTTCCCACAGTGCAGTAAAACTGAAGAGTGCAAACCTGCCACCCATTCCCAAATGTACAACCAAAGTATGTTTCTGGCATATTCCCCCCAAACTAACAATTTTCTACAAACATCTCTAGAGTAATTTCTAAAGGCACATTAATTTTTCAAAGAACTGGAAGATAGGAAAGAATACTTGCTCCGCTGTGTTTTGTTAGTTACTGACTACTGGTTATTATGCAATTGAAGAAAATGAACTTTAAAAGATAATCACAGATGTTGAAGCAAAAGAGAAATGCAATACATTTTTTCCCTCTCTCTGGAAACATTTCTGAGGAGCAGGATGATTTCCAAACCTAATGTAAAATTTTCGAAATCTGCAGGCATTAACAATAATATGAAATCTCATCTTCAAAAAGCAACTTACATAGACATTAAAAATAAGATACAGATGTGGTTTGGATTCAAAATAAAAGCTCTGAGAACACTGGAGTATTCCTGAAGAGTGCTGAGCCTCAATCCTCCAGAAATTAACTCTGACGGAAGACAAGAAATATTTTTGAATAAATATAATCTAAAAGTAATTTAATCTCAGTGTGGATGCCATCCTTTGGCAAGGTTTATTTAAGGCACCTAACAATCCATTTGCTGTGAATGTTTTCCCTTTAAAATATTATTAAAAATTTTTTAAATTGTAGATGTTTGCATGCAAATGAAGTGGTCAGGGAAATACTAGTAGAATGTACACAGGATGGTCATTATCCTTAACATGGTGCCTTTTATAGTAAGTAAAAATCAACGGAGAATGGGTAGAAGGCCTGACTGCGGCATCACCAGCCAATAGCCATCCCACTGACATTTATGGAGCTACAAGGTTTATGTAGGCAGACTGAATAACAACAATATGCATAAGTCATGGTATCTTTCATATAAAGCTCTCCAATTAGAAAAAGACATTCAAAAAAGTTTTTAAAAGAATCTTTTCAGTGTTCCATATGGCCCAAGATACCCAGGAAAATGTGTCACCACTCATAGTTCTGTTAAATTGAAAGACTATAGACTAAACAGGCAGAAAGTGTTTGGCTTTGAATAAAGTCTTCATTTTCTCATAACATACTTAGTTGTAATCCCATGGCTGTGGACTCTATGATGCACTGCCAAGATTCATCTTCTAAGAATGAAGGATTTACTTGCACAAATACTGCCTACAGGAAACTCAACTGTCAGCCCCTACAAGGATTGCTGTGTCTGCCTCTCTGTGGTGGACTATATGCAATTTGTGGTCAGTGGAAGGATAACTCAGCACATTAAGAGCTACTCTAGCTCTAAACTCCTTGTAGAGTTGGCTGGGACCTCCCTTGAGACTTTATATCAGTTCAACTTCAGTTCAATCCTGCCTCTTTTTTATCCTTTTCATTTCCTTGATATCAAGAGCACACCCTAATAAACCTCCTTCACATTAATCTGTAGCTCACAATCTGCTTTTTGAAGAATGCATCCAGGACCAGCTAGTTTAGAAATAACCCAAGAAAAGCAGGAACTATTTTGGGAACTAAATTATTTTCTGCCTGGCTGAAAATGGGCACAAGGTGGCAGTGCAATTGTTAAAATCCTTAGCAAGAGTACACTAGGATGTCTACACTGGTAGAAACAAATGTCCAGCTGGTACCATGCATCAAATATTTGGGGCATGTAGAGGAAATAGCAATTACATGGAAAATGAATTGGGGGGACATTGTTAGACCCTATTTAACAATGGGAGAGAAATGAAAACAAAGCTGAGCATGATTAATCAATAATTAAAAGCTGAGTGCAATTTCATTGTAAGAATAGCTGAGCCTCATGGTAAGTTAAACTATTGACCAAAATTAGGGACTTTTTTGGAGAAGAATGGGATCCAGAACATGAATGAAGATAAGTTGACCAATACAACCGAAAT